TCTATTCTATTCTATTCTATTCTATTCTATTCTATTCTATTCTATTCCTATTCTATTCCATTGCATTCTTTCATTCATTCCATATTTTCTATTCTATTCTATTCCTATTATCTATTCTATTTTATTGCGATTAGACATTCTATTCTACTCCTATTATCTATTCTATCCTATCTTATTTCTATTCTCTTTTATCCTTATTTCTATTCTATCCTTATTTCTATCCCATTCTATTCTTATTTCTGTTCTATTTCATCCCATTCCATTCTATCCTATCCTATCCTTGTTTCTATTCTATCCTTATTTCTATTCTTGTTCTATTCTACCCTTATTTTTATTTTATTTTACCCTTATTTCTATATTATATTCTTGTTTATTCTATTCTACCCTATCCTATCCTTATTTCTACTATATTCTATTCTATTTTATTCTATTCTATTCTTTTTCTATCCCATCCTATCTTTATTTCCATTCTATTCTATTCTTATTCGATTCTATCCCTATTTCTATCCTATCCTATTCTATTTTCTATTTGAAATGTCAAACATGGAAGAACCTTCAGGCCACATCAGATGGGCCACCGCACCTGAAGATGCCTCACCTAAAAGCAGCTTGCTCTCTTTCTTGGGAAGGAAGGGCTCCTGGTGTAGCACCTGGCTGGGTTGGGCTTTGAAGACGGCAGCTTCTTTCTGGCGCTTCATCTCCTCCTTCAGCTGAGGAGAGAGATTGGGGGCAGGGGGGGCAAGTTTAAAGGAGACATCCAACGGAAGGAAAATTCAGGCAGTCCTCGACTTACCACCGCGAGGGAGCCCCCATTTTATTTTTATTTTTTTGCCACCGAGCCAAGGCAAGGTGTTAAAGTGATTTTTGCCCCCCTTTTTAAGACCCTTTCGTGCCACCGTTGCTAAGCGGATCGCTTGCGGCTGTTAAAAAGTTAGCCGCACGGTTGATCAGTGAATCCCGGCTTCCCCACTGACGCAAAAGGAGGTCGCGTGTCCTTGGGACCCTGCAACTGTTGTAAGTGTCTGTATTTCTGCTTGTGTGCTGGCCGATGGCTTTGGAGTGACTCAGCAGAGCTGAGGATGGATTCTGCAACAACTGCAGGACTGCTGGAAACGGCTCTTTCCATGGATTGACGTGGTGCGTGTTGTTAAAAGGGGCTGGGGCACAGATAGGTGGTAATGAAGCTTTGAGTTAAGACATAGTAAAAGCGGAACCAGGTGGAGATCAGTTAGTGAGGGTTGGAATAGGCTAGGGATGTAGACATGTTATAGGGTTAATAGCATTTAGGGATAACTAGAACTGCGTATAGGCCTGGGTGCGGTGGGGTGTGTCTCATGATAATGGTAAAAAAAAAAAGGAAAGGGAGCAAACTCAAACCCAGCTCTAACCTTGCCTGGCTTTTAGCCTTTCTTGTCAGAGAAGAGTATTTGTTGTTTGCTGAGCTAATGAATAAACCACCATTGCACCACAAAGGAGCTGGAGTTTGTATTCATTTCAGGACAAATCTTCACTACTCAAAGGACTGGCTGAGAGTAAGTACATGCCCGTGTCAACTCATAAAATACCCCTCGGCCTGTTTTAGTAGTTGTCATTAAAAAAAAAAAAGGGTGGGGGGAAATAACAAACCAGGCCTCTGAAAGGATCAGGGTTGGCGCCTGAACACATCACCCTTGGCCAGGTTCAAGCCATGAATGCTCCAGGGGCTCTTCTGCAGCCGTACATTCACCAGGAGCGCCTGAGTCGGCCCCTTTCGACATTCTGACAGCTGTTAGAGAGGAAGCCCCGGCTCAATCCTCACGGGGCCGGGAGTATTTTTCGCTGTCCCACTTCTGCAAACCCATGTCCTAGGGACTGCAAGTTGATCCTCAGGCGGCGGTGGGCTTGTGAACCGGACGTCATGTGTGCGTAGACGCCTCGCTCTTTCCCCGAGGCGAGTCACTGAGAGGAGAACAACCTTTGTGACTCGGGGTTGAACTGTGGTGCTCTCGGAGCTTGTCTTCTGGCAGATGTTTCATGACCCAATTAGGTAACATGATCAGTGCTAGAAAGGACTGGGGTTTGGGAGGAAGGGGAGGAGGAGGAGGAGGAGGATGACAACGATGGGGTCCTTGGCACTCTCTGTGAGTTTGGTTGTTTCCTTGCAGACGTTTCATAACCCAACTAGGGAACATCATCCATGCTGGGGTGAGCCACGGTAATGAAACTCAAAGACAGGAGTCTTCAAACTTGACTTGTGGACTTCAACCCCCAGAATTCCTCCTCCAGTCCTGTTTAGCTCAGGAATCCTGAGAGTTGAAGTTCACAAGTCTTAAACTTGCCAAGTTTTGAAGTCCCTTGCTCAAAGACTTTGGCCACCCCATGAGAAGGAAGGACTCCCTGGAGAAGAGCCGAATGCTGGAGGACGATAGAAGAAGAAAGGAAGAAGGCAGAGGAGGAGGGGGCTGGATGGAGTCACTGAAGCAAGTCGGCCTGAGATTAAATGGACTCCGGGGGATGCCAGAGGACAGGAAGGCCTGGAGGAACGTAGTCCGTGGGGTTGCGATGGGCCAGACACAACTTCACAACTAACGACGACAAAGCCATGGTAGAGAAACAGAGAGCAAACCCCACTCCCTCTAACCCTGATGAGGTAACCTAGTCGGGTCACGAAACGTGTGCAAGAAAACGAGCGCACGGACCACCGAGGACTGCAGAGGCCTAGTTATGTATCCATCTTCCCCTTATTAAGGAAAAAAAGACAAGTCACAAGCTCGCTTGCATTTTTCGCCTCGGGAGGAAAAGAGAATTGGAAAACTCCCTTTTGGGAGAGGAAAACTGATGCACACATTCCCACCTCCTGAGAGCCATTTTGGAGCCACCATCCAAAGGCCTAATGACCAGAGGAGAGGCTAAACCCAGATCTGGATTTCTTTTGTGGACAAAAATGTCCTTCAAGCCCAAGCGGATCCCGCCACCGGTCTTACCTGCTGCTGCCGTATCTCCTGCCGGACAGCTCCACGGGCGTCGATGGCTAGTTGGAAAGGTTCTGGCTTTGTGGGTCTCTTCACCTTCTTCTCAGGAAGATATATGTGGTCGAACTGGGGCAGGGGGTTGGCTTTGAACTTGGGCACCTGCAGGGAAGAAAGGCACCTGGGGAGTGAGGCGGCTGGCCAGGGTTTGCTTTGAAAGCATTGCTAGGATGGAGCCCCCAACCACCTCTGGAGGCAAGCCCTTCCACTCATCACAGGCAGTCCTCGACTTATAGAATAGAATTCTTTTATTGGCCAAGGGTGATTGGACACACAAGGAATCTGTCTTTGGTGCAAATGCTCTCAGTGTACATAAAAGACAAGAGACATTCGTC